GCCAATGTCATTTTAACATAATCAAGACAGAGGCTCTAACTGAACTAACAGTGCAGGCCAGAGGTCTGTGGGAATGAAGTGAGCTTATGAGAGGAAAGTAGACAAGGAAAAACACACACATATTTTTATCAGTAAGTTTACTTAGAAATCTGGGACATTTGCAATATAAATGCTTACAATATTATATCAGAAATGCTGCATTTTCAAGCGCACTTTTTTGAAAGTACACAAATTATAATAAAGAGGAAAAGCTATTTCTGAAGTATGTTCCTTCTTGGAATTATAAGCAGCAAGTACAATAAAGTAAAATAGAATTCCATCAAGGGCCACAGTTGGGAAGTTCTGGATTTCCCCAGATTCCCGTGGCAGGGACACCTGTTCAATACCCCTTTCGAAAGATGAGCGCACTCCCACAAGCCGGCCTTTGCCTTCCCCCAGCTTGCCAGCCTTCCGGTCGGGTATTCAGGAAACAACTCCAGGCCCGACAGGGAGGGAGAAGAGAGAGGGTCAAGGAATCACAGCAAAGCTCAGTTCTAATCCCTGTACTGTTACCAACCTCTTGGGTTATATTGAAAAAGTTGTTTAACTTCTCTGGGCCTTAGTTTCTCGTTCTGTAAAATGAGAGATTGTTTAGATTAGGAGTCATACTTGCATGGGTCCTGAAAAGCACTGTGAGATACAGGCAAAGGGGGAATGTGTGTCCCATCTACGGGGGATAATAGTCATCTTTTGATTCTTTTCCAAGGAAATATGTTTCTGGCTTGTTATGCCAAAATCTGAATTTTAAGTGTTGGCTCAAAGATGAAAAGACAGACTATTTAAAATACTCTGCAGGTCAAATAGAACACATCTATGGTCCCTTAAAGTTCTCACCTTCCAGGATTCAACATTTGCCTTCACAGCCACTAGGATTTGTCAGTCTGAACATGCAACCCCTTGATTTGCCCACTTGTGATATCTTATTTCCCTTACAAACTCTCAGGTGAACTGTGTACCTCTTTTCCTAGGAGAGATGTTAGGATAAATGCAACTACGTATATGCGTGGCAAAGTTGGTCAGCAGAAGCTGAAGCATGCTGCCAAGTAACCAGTTATCAGAGGAGAAAATTAACTAGAAGTAAAGCTAAGAGAGTGAGGTAGGAAGAAGAAAAATGTTTCAAGTTCAGCACACTCTAGCTAAGAAGAACCTGGGAAATTTAACCACAATATTACTAATCTAGCTGTGACAGAGGAGGAGTTTGGAGGGTACAAAATGTTCCAGGTGGCATGAGTATTGCCTAGAAGAGAAATTTTGGCCTAAACTCTCAGGATGGGCAGTGTTGTCTGGAGAATTTTCTGGAAAGGAACAGGGAGGGAAGTATGAAAAAGGATTGCTAGCTTTAGGAGTAGATTTAAAAGAGTTAGACTTCTCTTTTATCCTGAGCAAAGGTAGACTGTTGCCTAGATAACACAGAAATGATTTGCTAACTGTACATAGTTTTCACTCTACAGGATCTGATTCTTCAACTGGTGTATATTTTTTCCTTAGAAACATGCTTTTTTCTCCCCACTCAACCTCTACCATTCTGGTCTGTGACCACTGTTATTTCACATTTAGGCCCATAGCAATAGCTTTCTAACAGGCCTCCAGAATCAATATCCAATCTATCTGGATAGACTAATTTTCCTTAAACACTGCTTTTATCATGCCACTCTACTGTTCCATTATCTTCCATGGCTCCCATTCCTACCAAGTCTAAAGTCTGCTTGGCCTTTAGTGGTCCCCCAGACCCACTCAGATGTATCTCTCCCTAGACCCCGACATGCATTTCCTATTCAGTCTCTCAGTACTGTCTCAGGACCAGGGGTGCTTCTGCTTCCCATCATTTTATTCAATGCTAGATGCCCATCATTCTCCTTCGAATCCTGTCCATCTTCCTCAGTCCATTTCCTTCATGAAGCCCATTTGACTTCCCCGACTTTAGAATCGCTATGCCATTTAATGTCTGAACCATGCACTCTGCCACTCAATTACATATTATTTTTGTTCTCTAATTGCTCCAT